AAAGAATGCTCAATTTGTGGGAAAAAAAACAACTTAAATTTCATTTGGGTGCAGCATTGCATGACCGCGTAATTGTCAGCTAAAGTAATGCAGTGCCGTAACGCAAAAAATGGCCTGCTCAGGAAGGGGGGTAAATCTTTAGGAGGGCAAGTGGTTAAAGAATGCCTTCTTTCTGTTGCCAAAGAGATGTGTCCAGAGAAGCCTGATTTATTTAGTACAGTGAGTCTTTCAGGACCTACAATTACACAAAGGATTGAAGAAATGGGGGACAATTTGCATCAGCAATTGCAAAACTTCTCAAAAAAACTGCTATTTTTCATTGGCACTTGACGAAAGCAATAATGTTCATGATTCTGCACAACTTCTAATTTTCATTCACGGGGCAAATGATTGTTTTGAATCACAGAGGAGCTTGCTGCACTGAAAAGCATCAAAGGAACAACAACAGGAATGGATATCTATGAAATGCTTTGCCAAACTGTGAATGATTTGGAGCTGGACTGGGCTAAAATAGCCAGTGTGACAACTGATGGTGCTCCTAGCAAGGTGGGGTCTATCAAAGGAGTGGTTGCACGCATTAACCAAGAGATGGACAAACACAACAATTCTTGTCCAATTGCCATACACCAACAAGCGCTGAAAATTGTGGTATCTTGTTTTACCTTCATTAGAGCTCATGCACTAAACCACAGACAGTTTCAGGAATTTCTGTCTGAGCTAAATGTTGCTTATGAAGATATTCTGTACCACACAGTCCTTTGAGTCAAGAGAGAGTTTTGAAACATTTTTAAGACTTCCACAGGTTTCTACTTTTTCTGATTTAAAAAAAAACAAAGAAGTACCAGAGCTCAAAGATGCAGAATGAAAATGGCAACTTGCCTTTCTGACAGATGTAACAGAGCTACTCAACAGTTTCAATGTGCAACTTCAAGAAAAGGGGAAGCTCATCTGTGATATGCATTCACATGTGAAAGTATTTGAAGTAAAATTAGACCTTAAACAACTGAAGGAGGAAAACGTCTGCCATCTCCCCACTACTCAAAACGTGTTGTCAGAAAACCCAGCAGTTGCGTTCCCAAACAAAACGTGGATTCACTGGAAATGTTGCAAAAGGAGTGTCAAATTAGATTTTAAGAGCTTCATATCCAGAACCCATTTTCTGTTGATATTGAAATTGTTGATCCAATTTAAAAAATGGAACTGTCCGAAATACAGAATTGTGACTCTCTGAAAGACACATTCAAGTCAAGCAGCCTTACTAATTTCTATGCATTTCTCCCCTCTGATACATATCTTAATCTCAAGAACCATGCTCTCAGAATGGCAATTATCTTTGGCAGCACCTGTGTCTGTGAACAGACTTTGTCCCGAGTGAAACATCTGAAATCTCCAAACAGATCCAGAATAACTGGTGCACACTTGCATCACTTGTTATGACTAGCTGTGACAAATATGGAACCGGACATTGACAATCTCATTAGCCAAAAGCCGGCCCATACTTCCCATTGAAATACTAATGCGTTTATGTTGGTTGAACGAGCCTGGCTGGACCTTGACAGCTGCCACCTCAGGTTTTTGTTCATTAAATTGTTCTTCATTTAAAATATTGTATTGCTTTTTCTTTTTTTTTCACTACAAATAAGATGTGTGGTGTGCATAGGCATTTGTTCATATTTTTTTTAAACTATAGTCCGGCCCCGCCAACAGTGTGAAGGTCAGTGAACTGGCCCCCTGTTTAAAAAGATTGAGGACCCCTGGTCTTAGATGAAAGTAATATTTTAAAACCATATATAATAACAAAAACTAGATAGTAAGTAAAAACCAATATGTATTCAAAATTAAAAGTGCTTTTGTCTAGGACAAGACTGCTGTTAGAAATCACAGGGCCCCAGACAACCAGACAGGGCCTCCTCCTGAAAATATCAAAGTATATTTTTGCTAAAAATACACTAAAATTATTATTACTGGACACAAACATCACAATTCTTGCTAAATTTAAAAGGTAAAACTGTATTGTGTTAATAAATAAAGCTGTGTATAAAGGAGGCCATGGAGCTCATTCACATGGGCACAGTGGCCTGTAAAGTGTGAATTAGTGGTTTGTTTGTGTGGCTGGAGCTGTGTGCAGTCAGTCTAGGTTATGCTATGGGGATGCAGCAGAGGTTTGAACACAGCCGCAGGTCATAATTTGACAGGTGTATGGGTGCAAGTTTATGGCCCTGAACGCAGACAGTGTGCAATCAGGGCCATTCACCCACACCCGTCATTATAGGTCCTGCATTCCCCAAGAGCAACATGTGCCTCCAGCCGCATAAACAATCTATTCATTCACATGGCCAGACTAACCACACGAAACATGAAACATCAGAGCCCGACCACTCCAGCCCTGGCAGACTGAACACACCAAAACTCTCACACGACGCAGTCGTGCGCTGGAGCGACTATGGCGCAAAACCAGATTTCAATTAGCATTCACCTGCTATAAATCTGCCTTCCACACCTACACCTCCTCCTTCCACGCTGCCAAACAAGCCTACTTCCTGACCCTCATCAAGACCCTCTCCTCCAATCCTCGCAGGCTCTTCTCCACCTTTAACTCTCTACTCTCTCCGCCCCCACCTCCACCCAGCACCTCACTCACCGCCCTTGAGATTGCCAATCATTTCAAAAATAAGATTGACACTATTCGCAGAGACATCGCCGCTGCTCAAACTTCCTCCCCACCTGTCCCCTCTCACACAGCAACCCCCTCATCACCCCTCTCCCTTGGCCTCACCACTGTTCTGACTTCCACCCCACCTATTCCTCCATTCCTCACACTGAAGCCCCCACAACATTCCACTTCTTCGACCTCACTACCATCGAAGAGGTCACCAAGGTCTTCTCAAATGCCCGCCTCTCCGCCTGCCCCCTCAACCCTATCCCCTCACAACTTCTCCGACCGCCCTCCTCCTCCATCCTACGGTCCCTCACCCACATCTTTAATCTCTCCCTCTCTTCCGGCGCACTCCCCTCTGAAGCACGCGCACATCACCCCTATTCTTAAAAAGCCCTCCCTGGACCCCAATGACCCGAACAACCTTAGACCCATCTCCCTGCTGCCATTTACATCCAAACTCCTCAAGCGCTTAGTCTACAATCGCCTAAGCTCCCACCTCAACCACAACAACCTCCTCGATTCCCTATAGTCCAGCTTCCGTCCCCTACACTCCACCGAAACTGCCTTACTAAGCAACGACCTGCTAACCGCCAAAGCTAACGGCCACTACTCAGTGCTCTTACTCCTCGACCTCTCGGCGACCTTCGACACAGTCGACCACCCCCCTCCTCCTCAAAAAGCTACACTCCCTTGGCCTCAGAGATTCCGCTCTCCTGGCTCTCGTCCTACCTATCACAACGCTCCTTCAGCATTACCTATAACGCTACCACCTCCCCCTCACTCTCCCTCTCTGTTGGGGTGCCTCAAGGCTCTGTCCTCAGGCCTCTTCTCTTCTCCATCTACACCTCCTCCCTTGGCCAACTCATACACTCTCATGGCTTCAACTATCACCTCTATGCTGACGACACGCAAATCTATCTCTCAACCCCCTCAGTCTCTGCCCGAATCACAAGCCTACTGAACAACATATCAGACTGGATGTTGCTCCACTTCCTTAAACTGAACCTCTCCAAAACTGAGCTCCTCGTCTTCCCCCCGGCCCGCACACCACCCCCCATTGACTTCTCCATCACGTCCAACCATGCCACCATCAGGTCCGCCCCACAAGCCAGAGTACTTGGTGTCATACATGAGTCCAATCTATCCTTCCAGCCCCAAGTACAATCACTAACAAACTCTTGCAGACTCCACCTCCGCAACATCGCCAAAATCCACACGTTCCTAACCCCAGAAACCAATAAGCAGCTCATCCACTCCCTCATCATATCACGACTCGATTACTGCAACTCCCTCCTCACCTGCCTCGCCACAGGCTATCCCCGCTTCAGTCGATCCTGAATACGGCAGCCAGACTCATCCACCTCACCAACCGCTCCGTTTCCGCCACCCCCCTCTGCCAATCCCTCCATTGGCTTCTGATTGCCTAACAGATCAAATTCAGACTGCTATCACTGGCGTACAAAGCTGTCCATCATACTGCCCCAAACTACATCATCGACCTAATATCCAAATACCACCCAACACGCACTCTCCGCTGCTCACAAGACCTCCTTCTCTCTAGTTCCATGGTCTCCTCCTCCCATGCCCGCCTCCAGGACTTCTCCAGGGCGTCACCCATCCTCTGGAACTCCCTACCCCAATCCATCAGACTATCACCTACTCTCCTCTCCTTTAGACACACCCTGAAAACCCACCTCTTTAAGGAAGCCTACCCCACCACCTGCTAATTGCCGACCTCCTCCACTCTTCCTACCACTCCATCCCCCACAGCCATTTACTCCTGTACCAATATCCCCTCCCTCCTAGATTGTAAGATCGAAAAAACAGGGCCCTCAAACCCCTCGTGTATCACGTTGTATTGTTTTGTACTGTCGCATGTACTGTCTCCCATTGTAATGTACAGCGCTGAGCGAACTGTTGGCACTTTATAAATACTGTATAATAATAACTGTGTGAATGACAATACAAAATATATACAATAGTGCTTCACAGTACTGTTTAACCACCTCCCGCCCGCCATATAGTCAAATGACGGGCACAAGGTGGTTCTCTCGTTCTTGGAGGACGTCATATGACGTCCTCCCATTCTCACCGCACATGCGCGGCTCAGGGAGCGCACAGCGCGCAAATCGGCAGTGCGCTGTGTCCCTCGGACACAGCGGATCACCGATCTACGGAAAGAACCGAAGATGTCGGCTAGGTCATGTGATCAACCGTGTCCAATCACATGATACATGTAAACAGGGAAATGCCGGTTATCGGCATTTCTCTCCTTACGAGCTGTCATGCTGACAGCTCGAGAGGAGAGGAGAGCCGGTAATCGGCATTCCGCGGAGGGGATATGTACACTGATCATCGGGGGAATGATGATCAGTGTGGCCCCAGAAGTGCCACCTGTCAGTGTCTGTCAGTGCTGAACAGTGCCACGTGCTAGTGCCCATAAGTTCCACATCAATGCCACATATCAGTGCCTACCAGTGCACATCAATGCCACATATCAGTGCCCATCTGAGCTGCCTTTCAGTGTCACCTATCAGTGCCAGTCATTGCCGCCTATCAGTGCCAGTCAGTGCCGCCTATCAGTGCCCGTCAGTGCCGCCTATCAGTGCTGCTTTTCAGTGCCCATTAGTGATGCCTGTCAATGCCCATCAGTGCCACCTACCAGTGCCTCCTCATCAGTGCCACCTATCAGTGTCCATCAGTGCAGCCTATCAGTGCCCATCACTGCAGCCTCATTAGCGCACATCAGTGAAGGAGAAAAATCACTTATTTACAAATTTTACAAAAACTAAGAAAAAACTTTTTTTTTTCAAAATTTTCAGCGGTTTTTAGTTTAAGAAAAAATAAAAAACCCAGAGGTGATTAAATACCACCAAAATAAAGCTCTGTCACAAAAAAATTATAAAAATTTCATATGGGTACAGTGTTGCATGACCGCGCAATTGTCATTCAAAGTATGACAGCGCTGAGAGATGGAAATTGGCCTGGGCAGGAAGGGGCGTATAAGTGCCCTGTAGGCAAGCGGTTAATAGTGTTTCTTATAAATATGTGCACAAGTGTACAGTAATGGAAACAAAAATGTGACATGAATAAAGCAAAATAATGACGAAAGCAAATTGTCCGTGAGTGTTCCTTTAAAAATAACCAAGCAGCAAAATGTCCATGTGTTTTTCTTTAAAAACAAACAACAAAATGCTTGTGTATATTCCTTTAAATAACAAAAGATTGTGAGCACATCAAAATGTTCACACATGCGTCCTTTTAAATCATCACAGTATCTCTTAAAAATGAAAACATTATCCACGTGTATTCAATACCACTTGCTATATCCAAGAAATTTACATTTCTTCAAATTCTCTTCATAATTCCACCATGCCTCTAAATATATAAACCATCCAATAGCGTCAAGCCCATCACCATAGTACATATGCTCTCACCTTATACTGTAGTTAAACCTAACGGTCATTAAGTTATATGTGCCTTTCCCCTTTAAATGGGGTTCTTATAAGTTACACCCGTGCTCTCCACTCAAATTCTTAGTGGCTCCACAATGCACTTCCATCCTTCCATCCTAGGGTGAAAAAAAGCTTAAAAAGAATATATAGTGCTCTCTGAGTTCCAGTCACACAGCTACAAAAACTGTAGCTGCTTTTAAAACACAGCCACCCACCTGTCCCTTGATCCTGCAGTGTCCTACCCACTGCCCGTTTCCCCTGCCTTATGGTGTTCACGGTGCCAGCATCTTCAGTGTGGTGGACAGACGGGCGGCAGCTACAGGACCAGTGACGTACCCGTACATCGCTGGTCTTTTACCAACACGGGGATGCTGCACGTCAGAGCAGGCACGCAATCCCCCCTCCACGTTCGCTGTGTCCATCGGACAAAGTGGAATGAGGATCCTGGTAATCAGGACAAGGTGATCATGTTTTCGCTATGCGTTCACATGATCACAATGAAAACAAAGCTTTTTTGAATCAATCTGATTCATAAAAGCTTTGCTTCTGTTTCTGGAGAGCTGTGATTGGACCACAGCTCTCACATGACACATGGGGCCAATCACAGCACCCTGTACCACGTGACCACCTGGAACCAATCACAGATCACTATTATCACAGATCACGGTAATATTGAACTGTCATGAACATAACAAATTCATGATAGTTCAAAGCAAGCTTTGTGTTGCAGAGCAATAATCTTCATTTCTTATACAAGGCAAAGTGTAAAAAAAAAACTGTGTATGCACATACGTGCGCTCCCAGCTGCCCCCTAAGCCATCCGGGGAGAGAAGAGAGAACACGACACTGAGTAAAAGCACTACATTTTACACATGTTAGATTAGCACATGTAACTCTTTGATCACCCCTATTAACCCTTTGATCACAACATCACCCAGCCAGTGCCATTAGATAGCGTCAGGGTCAGCTAGTGTTATATTGCCCGCACACTATCGCACTCACACTATAGGTTGCTGATCGCTGCCATTACTAGTAGAGTGTTTGTAAAGATCAATATATTGATCAAGAACATAACTATACTAGTACCTCCTTTGTATAGTGTCTCCAAAAACGCAGTGTTAGCAGAATCAGTCCTGTTCGCTGCCAGCACTAGTGTTTAGACCCTCTGCTGTTTTTCACGGAAGATTTGTATCGATTGTGGGCCAAAGCAATTTATACATACACAACACCACATCGATGCCCACCCAAATGTAGCTGTTGCCAGACAATTTGCATGGAAACCAATCATGGCTTCCGAATGTAAAACTTTTTTGGGCCTAACCCTCAACATGGGTCTATAGAGCCAATTCATCATATGCCCATGTTCTCTGCTGTTACATACAGTTAATTCCATATATATTTGGACACAGGCACAATTTTAGTTTCTTCCAGGTATTTACCTAAAACATATTCAAGCTATAGTTATATAATGAATATGGGCTGAAAGTGCACACACTCAGGTTTAATTTGAGGGTATGTACATCTAAATTGGAGGAAGAGTTTAGGGATTACAGCTCTTAAGAGTAGCTGTCCCCCTTTTTTCAAGGGACCAAAAGTAATTGAACAATTGAATCAAAAGCGGTTTCATGGCCAGGTGTGGCCTACTCCTTCATTATTTCTTCATCAATTAAGCAGGTAAAAGGTCTGGAGTTGATTCTAAGTGTGGTATTCGCAATTGGAATCTATTGCTGTGAACCTACATCATGCGTTCAAAGGAGCTGTCCATGCAAGTGAAACAGACCATTGTAAGGCTTCGAAAAATGAAATAAAATTCATCAGAGAGATAGCAGCAACATTAGGAGTGGCCAAATCAACAGTTTGGTACATTCTGAGGAAAGAACGTACTAGTGAGCTCAGCAACATAAAAAGGCATGGACGTCCATGGAAGACAACAGTGGTGGATGATCGCAGGATCCTCTCTATGGTTAAGAAAAACCCATTCACAACATCCAGACAAGTGAAGGACACTCTCCAGGAGTTGGGGGTATCATTGTCAAAGCCCACAATCAAGAGAAGACTTCACGAGAGCAAATACAGGGGGTTCACCACAAGGTGCAAACCATTCATGAGCCTGAAGAATAGAAAAGCCAGATTAGACTTTGCCAAAAAACATCTAAAAAAGCCAGACCAGTTCTGGAAAAGCAATCTTTGGACGGATGAAACTAAGATTAATCTGTACCAGAATGACGGGAAGAAAAGTTTAGAGAAGGCTTGGAACAGCTCATGATCCAAAGCACACAACGTCATTTGTAAAACATGATGGGGGCAGTTTGATGGCATGCGCATGTATCTCTTCCAGTGGCACTGGGTCATTGGTGCTTATTTATGATGTGACAGAAGTAGCCCGATGAATTCTACAGTGTTTAGAGATATACTGTAAGCCCAGATTCAGCCAAATGCAGCAAAGTTGATTGGATGGTGCTTCACAGTACAGATGGACAATAATCCAAAAACACACTGCAAAAGCAACCCAGGAGCTTTTGAAAGAAAAGAAGTGGAATATTCTGCAATGGCTGAGTCAACCACCTGATTTCAACCCAACTGAGCATGCATTTCACTTGCTGAAGGCAAAACTAAAGGCAGAAAGACCTACAAAGAACAACTGAAGACAGCTGCAGTTAAAGCCTGGCAAAGCATCAGAAAGGAGGAAACCCAGTCTTTGGTAATGTCCATGTGTTCCAGACTTCAGGCAGCCATTGCCAGTAAAGGATTTTCAACAAAATATTAAAAATGAACATTATATTTATGATTATATTCATTTTTCCAATTACTTTTGGTCTTTCTTAAGAGCTGTAATTCCTAAACCCTTCCTCCAATTTGGATGTACATACCCTTACATTAATCCTGAGACTGTGCACTTTCAGCCCATATCCATTATATACTGTAACTATAGCTTAAATATGTTTTGGTAAATACCTGAAATAACCTAAAATTGTGCCTGTGTCCAAATATATATGGACCTAACTGTATATACCAAATGTGGACCAGTAATGTACTGGCATGTTGCTAGACTTTGAGTGGTTGCATCAGGATGATGCCTGCAGCTACAGGCATCATCCTGGTATAATTTTTTCAGCTGGCGGCCAGCTTTCATGTAAAAACAATCCTAGCCGCTAATTAGCCACTGGATCACTTTCCCCCACCCCTCCCACTGCCTTTCAACATTTTTTTGGGCTCTCCTGTCCCACCAGGGAACCCAAAAATGCAGCCGGCAGTTCCTCTGGCTGACAATAGAGCAGATCAGAGACTGGAATGCCTCCAGTCATCTCTATGGTCTATGAGAAGCAACGAGCATTTCACCATTTCCATTTCGCCAGATATAAACAGCGCCATTTTGAAATTGGAAAACCATCTGATCACACCGATCTAATAGACCCCAGATTTTTCAGAAAAGAGAACCTGTCACTGCCTATTGCTATCACAGGGGATATATACATTCCCTGTGATAACAATAAAAGTGATAAAAAAAATACTGTAAGGGATTTCCCATGAGACGGCTGGTGAATAGACGTGCGCATGTGCACGGAAATGCACGATCACGCACAGTGAAGATTGGCGCCAGACGGACTATTTAAAAGATGCCTCTGCCTGTGCTGAGTGCTGACTTGTCTTCAGCTGTTCCCCTTTTCCTGCTTGTTCCTGTGTGATTTCCTTGTTGCTGACCCGGCTTGTTCCTGACCTCTGATTACTCTCCTGCTTGATACTTGATCCTGACCTTGGCTCTGCTCCTGACTTTGGCTTGCTTATGATTTGGTACCTCGCTGTCTGCCCGTTGATGACCTTGGCTATTCCTTTGACACTGCTCCTGTCTCCCATCCCTGCTTCCTGCCTTGCTCTGGTGCACAGCTGGCGATCTACCATACCAGCTCTGCCTATTACTACTGTGCCTGAATCGGAGATTCATCAATCTTCCAAAGTCTCCAACTGCAAAAGCTGCAAACAACATCTGCTGGCGCTCTTGTACCCCTGGTCCCTAGACACCCTCTATTCCACTTCCAGTGGGGTCAGGGCTAGTGACACAAGTGAGGCCGACCTCGTCATTTCAGTCTCCAATCAGGTACGTGACAAATACAGTGAAAAAATAAAAAAAAAAAAGCAAAATAAAAAATTAAGAAAAAAATTCACCCCCATCCCCGTGCTCGCACGCAAAGGCAAACACAAGCATTGCTCCCATGGCCGTATGTAAACCGAGACTGCACCATGCATGTGAGGTATCAATTCGAACATCAGAACCTCCTGTGTAATTCTAAAGTGGTGAGCTGTAAAGGCTTTTAAAGTGTCGTCTATGGAT